TCTTTAAATTTCCAATTCTATAATATAGATTGAAACTTTGATCAATATTTTCATCACTCACCTTCTCTAAAAAAACCTTTTACCATTATTTGGATTCCTCCTAATTCAATACATTTTAATTTATTTCTTACATTTTCTGGGATTTTAGATAGTTTTTGTTTTACCCATTCTTTTGTAATTATAGGAATTCTTGCTTTTCCTATAGTATCTTCTATGTTGACAGACATTTCTTTATAATTCATACTTACAATTGTTTTATTTACCCTTGGTAAAATTTCTAAGAATCCTTGATGGAATACATCTTTTTCCTGTAGATCTAATATCCTTTTAGTGATTCCTGCGTATTTTTAAATATCAAAAGAATCTCTTGATTAATACCTTCTATAGAATCTTCAACTTCTTCAGTTGTTTCTATTTCTATTTCTGATTGTCGTATCTCCTGATTCATATATACTATTTCCTCATAATCTTCTTCTGATGAAGATGTATCTAATTCATAAATACTACTACATTCACTGCTTAAATCTTCAAAATATTCTATTGGTTCAATATCACTATCTTCTTGGAATCTTTCATAAATTCTAAGAGTTTTTATATTTTGTCTATCTTTCTTTTTAGGACATTGAGGAGCAATGTGTCCTTCTTCATTACAAATAAAACATCTACATTTTTTAATGTTTCTTGATTTAAATTTCTTATTCCAATTTCTTTTCTTGAAATATTTTTTATGTGGTTTAAAATTCCTTTTATTGAATTTTTTTATAGTTTTTAAATTTTCTTTTATATTTCTTATATGGTTTATATTTCTTCTTATGACATCCAAATTGTTCAACTTGGCCATTATCTTTATAACAACATAATGAATTCTTTCTTATTTTATAAGCTTTCTTATTTTCTAGTGCTTCTCTGCACCACATTCCTATCATTCTTCTTGTAAATTCAATTCTACTTCCAAGACTATCTATTTCAACTCCTTCCTCTTTTCCTAGAGGTAGTAATTTTTCATATTCTTTTAGTAACTTGATTCCCCATGGGAATGGTAACTTGGTAAAATAATACCTCAAAATAGGTTTATTTTTCTGATAATCTCCTTGATTAAGTATATAGTATAATTCTTCAAATTTACATGTATATCTTTCTAACTCACACATATCACATATCTTTAAATTTTCCATTAAAATCATTCCTTGGTTATATTCATCTTGTTTTCTTTCTTCTTCATTAGAAGCGTACCTATCTCCTAGAAATTATGTTCTTAAGATCTTTTCAAATCTTTTTAATATTTCCTGTATGTTTTGTTCGTTTAAAGTATTTCTATTGTCTAGTACCTCAGTTCTGTTTGTTCCATATTTTATTCTTCCTTTAATAATTTCTGGTAACTTTCTCCACCATTCAGACACAATTCCTCTGAATGTATGTTCTATAAATCCAAAAACTGTATATATTTCCCATTTGTTAAATTGTATAGCTAAATCTGTACTTTTTATCCATATTTCAATAGCTTTATCTTTATCTACACAGTCTAGATCCAACCATACTCCTGTTGTGTGGATTGTTTCATTATAAGATTTCATTGGATTTATTTCTTTTATGGATTGTTTTCTTACATTTCCAGTGTATCTTTTCTGTGTTTTTCTATATTGGTTAATATCAGCCTTATCAGGTATTGGGGTACCATAAGGATAATCTTGTTCTTCATCACTACTAAATTCTACTTTTATATCATGACTTGAAGATGGATTAGTATTCATTTTTATATTTTCCATTTTTTCAGTTAATTCTTCTAACTGTTTTTTATATTCTTCACCTGTTGATTCTAAAAAATTTTGTTCTATCTCTTCTACATCTGTAATCATATATTGTCTTTCTTCATGTTTTTTCCCTTTATTATTTTCTTTTTGTGTTATCCTAAAATCTTGGGGTGGATTAATAATAATCCTATCTTTTCCTCTAAGGTTTTTATCTAATAGGGCATTTCCTATTTGTAGATTATGTTCTAGATTCTCTAATCTTTTATGTATATCCCCAAAATTTTCATTTGTGGTATTCTTAGGTAAATAAGGATAATTAGGTTTTTTATGTTTTTCAACTTTTTTCAAAAATTCTTCAATTATGTTTTCTTCATCTACTATATTCATCATAATTTTTGGCTCGTAACATGGCTCTGATACCATTTCGTCGGAGTATGCAGCGGAGGGGTTAATATTTTTAAACCAATTAAATTCTTCATAAGTATTTAAAATATCACAATAGAATTTATAAAATTCACTATTTTTTACCAATATTTTTTCTTGAATAATTATGTTTAATTTTTCAATTCTCCTTCTTAAATTAAGAATTAATTTATATATATCTTTTTCCATTTTGATTGATTCATTATCTATGGAATCATTTTTATTTTTTATTTTTGGGTCTAAATATTCTATAAAGAAGTCTTTCAGATCTTCTTCCAAATAGGTTAATTCGTTTTCTGTAGCGGTTTTTAGGTCAATAAAGTTTTTTATAATATTTGGATCTAAATTTATTAAAGAATTTTGATCCATATTTCTTTGAGGACTTATTTTAAGGTTTTTAGACATTATAGTGGCTTTGGTTGTAATTTTCTCTATAAGGGGTATTTTAGGAAATATATTTTTTTAAAGGTTATTTTGGAAATGTTTTTATTTCTTAGTCTAATTTGAAAAATCCTCCTTTTATTTACACTATTTTGATGTATTTCCCGGTTTTATTTGTATTTGTAATTTTGAAGCACGTGATTCTCAGTATTTTGTGGATTCTTTGACGGCAGCCGGGATACACTGAGAAGGGGTCACTGCAGATGGTTCCTATCTGTACGAGTCTATGAATTCGTGATTTTCCCTTAATCCATCAAATGTTTTAGATAATAAATAAATTATACTGTTCCGTAAAAGAGTCAAGATAGTGTGCACTGCTTTGTCCTTGCCGTTTCCTTCTGGTGCTACAAATTCCAGTGGTGAAGAAGTCGACAATTTTACTATATATGGTTACATGGAAGCTGTTGATCAGAATAATTCCTTCTTAAAGTCGGTTCTAATCTAACAAAACTGGCCGTTATCAAGTCGATGCCTCAATTCTGGAAGGATTTGATCTTGATCAGTCTTTTCATCACTATTACAAGACAAACTAGTAATGTCGTGTTAGAACCTTAAAAAATATTCAGTACAGAAAATTGGCCAGTGCTACAATAATACCAAGACAACTGACGAATGTTTCCTTAATAATGTCTAGTCGAACATATCCAACACGCAATAAAGGTTCAAAATCATTGTAATATTTGGCAATAGATGCCCTTGTTTCTAAAATCTTATTATTTCAAGAAAACACTGCTGAAATGATTTGGGGAAGCCATGCCGAATTAAGATCCCTTTATCATGACACTTTTAACAGGCAGTAGTTGATATACTTGATAAGATAAAAAAAAATGCTAGAAGAATTAAAGCTGGTTGGATGAAATGAAAAAGTACTACAGGAGAAGAGAGATTTCCAGTTTCCTGCTAATACTCAACAAGTTTGAACTGTTAAAGAAAAGATTGAACGTGTTCATCTAACTCAATGTGACCGGTTCCAGGATTTTAATCCCGTGATCAGTCTTAATCCTTACAAAAATAATAGGAACCCATCTTTGGCATGAATGAATCTGCTGTGTGTATGGAACCTGGCACATCTTTATAGTCTCTTTCATTTTTGGCACATTTTACATACATAGATGTACATATTCACGTATAGATAGATTAAACAAAGGATTCTCATACTCGATCCTTGGTTTAGTTAACTGTTGTTAGATTCATCTGTATTTATAGGTGAAATAAATTGACATGGCATGCCACAAGATCTGTTAGAGAGGATAAATTAAGTTATATAGTGGAGATGTAAGAAATGTCAGCAGATTTGTGCTTACAAATGTTATCTGATTCAGTCATATATACAAAATTTCTACTTTGGATTGATTTTGCAATTTCAGGTGGAATATTTACAGGGATGTGAATTGTTGAAACAGCAGTGGCTCTTATGTTTTACGAAGTGACACTTTGTTCTCCACCTTCTCTTTCATACTCCGAAGTGAAAATTGCTATATTAGTCGGTAGCAAATTGTCAATTTAATTTTAATCTACATTAAAAAAGGATCAATAGTCGATAGCATTTTGTCAAGTGGCCTTTTGAGTTAAGGATCGACAATTGACGATGTCATAAATTCTTTCCTTTTTTTTTTTATTTTCTGAGAATTTGAAGTTTGGAGGATGAGGATGGAATTTTTAAATTGATCAAGTTAAATAAGATAAAATGTCTCGAGCTAAACAAGACGGGGGTGTAGCTCATATGGTAGAGCGCTCGCTTCGCATGCGAGAGGCACGGGGTTCGATTCCCCGCACCTCCACTCTTTTCTCTACTATTTTTCTTTCTGGTTTTCCCTAAAATTCCTACTGAACTTGAATACAGAGAGATAGTAGAAGAATCATATACATAACATATGTGTGTTATTTGATGCAAACAAACCTACATCTTACCACTTCACGCTTCGCATAAAGCACACAGATACACGACTCGAAGCTTCACGCTATAATTGAAAAGACCAAAATAAAAATAAAAGAAAAAGATAATTTTTAATTGTTCAAGGACAGAAGCTTTCAACAAGCATAGAAACAGATGCCTCGGAAAACTGCAAAGCATGCTGCAGTTTAACTTGCACGGCTTTAGCCAAGCTGGATGTATCCCAGAGAGTTGATCTACTTTCTCGATCATCTGCATCAGATAATGGGCTAGCCTCCCTTTGATGGCCTGGTTTCGCTGAGGAAACAGCTTCGGCTTCACCCTTGTTACGCAGCTTGGCTAGCTCGCTAGTCCACATGTCCACAATTCCAGACATTTTTTTTTCCCTCAATGATCTTCTCTGTGTATATTTCACAAGATAAATCAAGAATATTCAAGATTTGGAGAGAGCAAGAAAAAAGAAAATATTTGGATAATTTTTTAATGATGCTATGAGAGGGTTACAGAGAACAGTCAATACATATAAGGGCGTGCGTGTGGGTGTGGGTGTGGGTATGGGTGTGGGGGTGGGGTGAACTTGAAGATGATGGATATGATGGTTTTCCAGATCAGTGTATATAATTCTGTGTGCCTATAGAGACAACAGATTCAACTCAGTTTCTTCATACCTCCAAAACAGGAGGCTGCAAGTGGTATACTATTTCCAGAATCCCATGTCCTCAGGAAATGTTGCCAAGTGGGGGCTCAGGATTCAGAAAATTAATAATTATTATAAGAATTGGTTCATATCTATCTTAAATTTTAGGATAAATTGCAGCAGATGCCACTAATTTATTGAAATTAGACAAGTAAGTTCATTCATAACCTTTTTTTTTTTGGCAAGTTAGTTGTCATTTTTTTGTTACATATTGATTCCTACTGGACGGTTTTGTTTATGTAGGTATTGAAAGGTCATTGGAATGGATAAACATTTTGCTTTTAGTTAAAAAAACTATAATATATTAAAATAACACATCAAGTGATAATAATTTTTATGATAATTTAAATTCTGCTATAATTCAATTATTTTACTAATTTCTTATTTTTCGTTTTTCGATATGTAATAAATACTACAAAATTATTGTCATTTTTTTAATTTCGTGTTATTAATTAACATTTACATTAATCTTGACTTAATGAATCTTCATTTATTTCATTCCTCCCACAACTCAATTATTTTAATAATACATTACTTTTTATTTTTCAATTGTAATGTATTAATTTCATGCTATTACTTCTCAATTACTCCTCAACATTCACATTAATCTAGATTTAATAAATGAAAAAATGTAGTAGCGGTCCTTAACCTTTTCATTTTTTGCAGACTTTACCATAATCTTCATCTTGTGCCAGCGAAGGTTTCTAACCTTTTATGAATATGCACCTGAGATCCATCTGAACGGAAACTGTCCAAAACATCGTCGGGTGACTTAGAAAATTTCTTGAATTATTTGCTACCGCGACGGCTTTATTGGATGTTGATACATTTTTAGACGTTTTTATTGGATATTGATTCTTTATTTTTATTTTTTTTGGGTCAACTAACGGTATTTTGGATGGTTTCCATTCAAATGGACCTCAAGTGCATATTTATGAAAGATTAAGAACATCCATTGATACAAAATGAAA